CAGGAAATAGGATGGGCAAAAGGGATGAGTGAGGCAGAGATAAAGAAACAAAAGGGAAAGCACTGGCAAACGGAAGACACAGGTATATCACTGAAAACAAAATGTGGCTAAAAAGACAGTGCTATAGCCCGAGACTGAAGGAATTAAGAGACTCCTGCTGAAGAGCTATGTTAAGAAACGGGAAAACAGGGATGCCATGTGCTGTGAAAAACCAGCCACTTGGCCAGGCACCAGACAAAAGCCACATGTGAAGACAGAGTATGGGAATGGAAGGGTGATGCACACTGGACTAGGGCTGACTTAAAAGGGTTGTAGAAAGAGGGAGTGGAAGAAGAGGTGACACCACTTAAGTTAGAAGCCCATCCAATCTTGACTGAGAGCACCAACTGCCCCAGCCAAAGGATGTGGAACTGAAGACCAAAACTGTGGAAGCTGGGTATTGAGATGTGTGACAAAGGCATCAAGATCCAGAACTCACCAATGAAACAACAGTGAGTCCCCTAAGCACTCTGTAGAAGTATCTTGTTGGGACAAGATAAGTAATCTGCAACTAGAAACACCTGGAAAATAACAAGCCATCAACAGAATATGATGGCTGTTGGCCCAATACAGGAGGTCCAGTGTTGGAAAACAGATATTTTGACCAAGAGAACCCATGTCTTGAGATGTACTAGACCACAGGTGAGCTGACAGAAGGAACCATCACCCTGAAGAGCCAAAAGAAAATGAAACAATGTCCAATGAATTGTGAGGAGTGCCCAACAATTGAAATGGAGAGAGGACTCAGATAGAATCCACCACCCCAAGAGCTCCTGAGCATCCAGGTAAAGAGGTGATGTTCTGGACCAGAATGAGGAAGAACAACACATATAGTGTCATTGGCTCGATCCAACCACCAGGTGAATTTGGTCTACCAGAGTAAATGTGGCCACGGAATACTAACCCCTCAAGATAACTGGTCCCTAAAATGATTCGAGTGAAAACCAATATCTGGTGAGGGAGTTAAAATACTAAATACTAGCTCATTGGCACAACACAACATTCTTGAATTATTAAATAGACAAAGGGTGAAGGAAGCCTGGGCACCTCCCCCAGAACAAAACACGACAGTGAGGCATAAGCAGGAGAAAGGAACAAGTTGTCAAAATAAACATCCTCATGTTCAGGCATACCCTCACATAGTGATAGAGAACAATAATCTGTCAACTCAGAAGACTGCATAAAGGCAGCCAACTTCCTTCGAACAGAGTTATTACTTCCTCAGTGGAAAAAAACATGCCCTGATACCATTTGAAGCTCCAAATGCAAGTCAAAAATCGAACAAAAAAAAAAAATATGTGTTTGGAATAATGCTTGAAACATGAGCAAAAAAATTAATGAACTAGTAAGTAAAAAAAACAAAGACACACAATTAGTCTACTCAAATTCGAAAAAGGAAACAACCAGTAGGAAAGCACGAACAAAAACAGATCCTATCAGTAGGACTGCCAATCAAGAAGTGATTACGGGCTACATAGAAGAGAGAGCACTAATGATGATAAAATTGGGGGGGGGGCATTCCTATTGGTGGAGGGTTGCTGCCTGATCATTTGCAGGATAGAATGCAGATGTCTCTTGTGAATGCATGTGAGGGTAAGTGGGAGTATCAAGGCTATTGGCAAGCAAAAATTTGTGCATATAGAGAGCAGTATAAGTCAAGAAAAGCTATTTCTGATTGGAAAAAAAGGTTTGGTGTTCAGTTAAGAGGTTCCAGAGGTTACACAAATGAAGTGTGAAAACTTTAAGAAGAAAAAAAAACTTTTAATCTTAACATGAAAATCACCTTGTACTCTCACTTGTCAGACTCTGATTCCATAAATTCAAACTAATTTTTACTAAAAATACTTAATTAAAAAAATCAGATTTTTTTTGTACAAAATACTTGTAACATTTACTAAAAGCTTACCAAATTTTGTGAAGATACACTTACAATATTACAGGTTGTAGCATGTATAGTTTCATGTTGGCTGCAAGTTTGGTCAAAATGACCAAGCCTGTATATACAGAAGGTTAAGCTGATTTTTGTTTTTAAGGTTGCAAGTTTTGTGAATACTGTACCCCCATTTGTCTTCTCAACATTAACAGGCTGGCCTGAAAAGCTCTGGATGGAGCAAAATGCATCATCAGCAATGGATGTGACATTTATAGTGTAGTTGGAATACTATTATTGTACATTCTTCTAATTCTTACGAGACTAGATAAAGAATGTAGTGTTTACAAATGTAATAGGCCCAATATTAATGTCTTATGACAAGTATAATTGTAATTATTATTTGCTAGCTTGTAAAAGGCATACAGACAATAACAAATGTTTCCAAACAATAATGTTCAAATATCTGAAATGTTTGCTATTAAATGTTAAAATTTAATGTACCTTTAGATTTTAGACAAACATTTTGTGTGTGAATGAGTAATATTCACACTACATTTGTTTCAAGGATCAAGAACATATCTACAAAGACAAATAGATGATGAAAAAGGGACAAACCTATAAATATAATTTTTTTTCTTATAATAATATCAGGCAGATTTTTGTAAATTAGGTTTTGTATTTTACATAACTGAAGATCAGTTAAAAATATAAGAACAGACAAGGGGACTGAAATTTATTAATTTCATATAGGTTATTCTACATCTAGCAATGTGAATAGCCAAACTAAATGTAGCTATTTGCATCCATATAGTCAATTATAATAATAAATTAAACACATTTAAACATTATCTAATGAAGACATTTTTAGCCTACTTTACTAAACCAGTTACATCTGGAAGTAGTTATTTCACACTATTAAAACAGGTACTTTCTGAATAAAATGTGAATGTATATCATATGTTTTATGATTTATCTCATACATATGTCTTTGTTCTTGCAGTTTCATTCATAGAGGTGCCTTGCTTTGGTATTAATGCATTAGTTTTTGGTTCGTATAACTTAACTCAATTTGTGTGTCCTCCATTTGTATTGGTGTTTGTATATTTTATTTGAATGGTTGTATTTATATCTTCTGTTTGAATGGTTGTAATCATATAAATGTCCTTTGTTGATAAGATTAGCAACATATCTTGGGCATACTTGTAGCCTTTGATCTTAAAGCAAGTAGAAACTGAAGCAGAATGTTTGATTTTTGAGGTTAATTTTCATCTCTATCACATTTAAGTGCCAGAGTCAAATACAGATTCAGGAAATTTTAAGAAAAAAGAGGCTTCAAGTGTCCTCAATTTGACTATATAACATTTATGGCCTCACATTACATCTAAGGTATGTATGGTTGTGTACGTATATTTTCTGTTTTTCTTGTTAAAACTGTATTAAACACAATTCAGTTACTGTCAATACAGAAAAACAAGGAGCCACGTGTAGTAAACATCTAATAAATGTAAAATATTTTATATTTTATTAGATAAAATACAATGGGATCTCTAGCAGTAATTAGAGGAAATGATTACAATATTATTGAAATTTCATTTTTTGTCATTTTTATGTTATTAGGGACTGTAACCATCAATGATAGACTTCCACAACTTGATGCATAAATAGTTAAAAAGTGTGTTCAATAAGGTTATTTGAATTAATATCTTGGAGGAGGATATCTCACTAACCCACTGATAGGCAGAAGGTTGTGGTAAAGTGAAAAATTGCAGGAAAATTGAAAAAGCTTGAATAAAAGAATAATAGAAATAGTCATACTGGACAGTACAAAAAAAAAACAGCTAGTCAAAACCCTTGGAAGCAGTAACTGAAAACTTTTGACTTACAGACTCATGCAACTTGTAATCAAATCTGGTATAAATAATAATAAAAACTAAACACAACTACAGAATGTAAATGAAATACAAACTTGGAACATCACTTGTGCTCAGTTCACATTCAGTCCTTAGCTTCAAAACTTGAAAGCATGGGAAATGGGATAACTTTTGACTAGCACTTTGCAACAGTGAAAGTACAGTAGATAGTAATGATGATATTCAGAACTTCATGATAGAAAATTTTGTATATATTCGATCCATGTTTTAAATCTTAAGTATATTACATGGAAAAGACCAGTATTTGATGAAGAATGCTCTAAGAATTTGATTTTCTGTAAACATGTTGCTGCTCTTGATGTCCACTTGTTGCTAAATGTCACCAAATACAAAGAAAATCCTTATGTTTCAAGGTTTACCTGACTTCTGATCATGTTAACTGTGAATTTCTGGTTTCTGTTTGCACAATCAGTTGCAAAAGTCATCCAGTCTCTCGAAAGGAATTTATTAGATTTAATTGCATATGGTAAAAAGGAGCTCACAGATGTGCATCCAGATTAAGCTCTCTTTATCACTTAGTTCTGACACTTTGTCAGTCACATCTTGTTCTTGTGAGTGCTCCTCTGCATTGAAGCTTTTCAAGAACAAGCTACTCCACAGCACTATGACAGAGCAGCATCCCTGTGATTTGATGGTGCTGTCAGGTGACTCGGAACAAGTATCATTTTTCTGTGGTCTGTCATTGAAGATTGTTGTTCAGTTGTTCCTTGTATAATGTTTTCACTGTGTATATTGTTGCACCTGCTATATGTATTATTATTATTATACATATTGTGATTGATGTACTATACTAAAGTATGATGCCTATTCTTATTGCATGACCTATCACTTTATACAAAAACATGCAACTGTTAAATGTACAAAACTGTATATAATCTAGGAAATACATGTACATATACAAGTATATCAATATCAACAATAAACATTATTTGGTATAAAACAAGATGAAGAATATTAAATATTTTTCCATCCACATTACAATTATCTAAAGTATGAACTAAAAATATTTTTAATGTAGTTTTTCATTCATTTTTTAAGTATTTAAAACCACAACCTAAAATAAAAGAACTTAAGAATGATACATTTTTCACTTCTTTTATATTCAAGAATATTTGATACACAATACATACATACACACACCAATGTCAAATACTGACCTATTGTCATTCGAGAAGGAAACCCATGTGGGTTAAATACTATGTCAGGAGTCATTCCACTCTCTGTAAACGGCATGTTCTCAGCAGGCCATTGTTGACTACATACACCTTTTTGCCCATGCCTACTGGCAAACTTATCTCCAATTATTGGATTTCTCTGGATGAAAAAAAAAAAATTATATATTAACAATGTTTTCTGCACTACAAAACTTATATTCTACAATAGATGTTTGTGAAAAAATGTCTTAAATTAAACAAATGTATGAAAAACTGCTAAGTTATGAATTGTGATCAGTTAGTCTGTATTTCAGCTGTAATAAATACCAGTTTAAGTATAGTTAAAAAATGGGTATTCTTAAGAATGGAATGATAATTGAGTTGTAAAAATGTCTGTAAAAATGATCATAATTTCCTATGGCAACTATAACTGAAATGTTAGTGTATAACATATATCATTTAGCTTACATGCATACATACACACTTACAGGAATCCAGAGAGTGATGCAAATTTTCTGAAGGACGTCTGATCCCGTATCATTCGCACACAGTTTCACATATAACACATAAGCCGATTCTGTGGATTTATACTTTTCTACTCTTGTTTCTCCTGTTACTTTGTTGATGTAGCTGTAAATAAAATATTTATTTATTGTCTCAAAATAATCCATCTCAATTTCAAAGTGCTACATATGATAAATAAACGTGATTATATAAATATAACTTAACACTTTTCCTACAGGCTAAAAATTTCTCTGTGAATATATGAAGTCAAAGTGTTGACTAATCTAAGTGCAAAGTGTCTTTCATGTTAAGATTAAAAATACTTTCCTTCATCTGAAAATTGTCAATTTTCATTTGTGTAATTACTAAGAGATCAGTAACGCATGAGATCAGTCAATTTGACCAAGCTAGTAACCACCATAAAAAAAAACAAATTAATTCTAAATTATCTTTTTTCTTTCTAGAATGATTTCAAATTGTAACATGAAATTACAATTGTTTATCCCAATTGGTTTAAAACTTGTAACAGTATAGATCTGTTTCTACTTAAATTTTATTGTTTTACTACCTTTTGATCCATGTCTAACTAATAATCCTGCCACACAAGTTGTAAATCACTTGGCAAATGTATATACCCTTATCAAATTACATAAGACATGGACTACTTGCTAGCATACCTCATCAAAAACTTTATATTGTCATTATTTTTTTATTTGTTTTACCTAATCTAACCTTACCTAATTTAACAAGTTTCTAATTTTGACACTTTAGTTACTTTTATACTAATAAATAAAGAATACACATGAAAGTTTACATTTTCTTAAATTGAAAATGTATTTCCAATAATGCTTACCTCTGCTGACACTTATAGCTATTACCTGACTGCCAGTGTTTCTTCTTTGCCCATCTAAGCATTGGTCTGATTTTTTCTCACTTGCTCCCATTTGTTATACCCCACTCAATTGCATTTGGTGATATTTATCTCATGATACTCTCCACCTATGTCAATGCACCTTCTATTCTGGTATTGTATATAAGCACCTCATTCAGATAATTTTATCACTTTTTCTAGACTGACACAACCCCAGTCTTTAACACTGGCTCTTAGAGGAGAGGAAGGGTGGGAGAGTGTCAGCGGAGGGGTATTATTCAAAATACAATTTCAATTTAGGAAAATGTTAACTTTCCTCTGTAATACGTACCTCTGCTGATACTTATAGCTCGAATTCCACATTGAGAAGGTGGAGGGGGCCGGTGAGGGCATTATCCATACAAAAAAGTGCCTGCATGGATCATGGGTGTAACAAGATAAGGTTGATACCTGAGTGGGAGAACTGCACTACATCCAGAATAGGTTTGCTCTTTACCCTGAACTTTGTTCCTGTATCATGTGTGGAATTATACACGAGTGATCATCACTATAGGGCCAGCCCCAACCAGATAGCCGAGGTTCCACTACTCAGGGTTAGAATTATGGGGTATTGGTCCTTATATCCAATGTTGGTGGCTGGAACAATTGGACTGCAATGTTACATATAAAAATATATATACTGTTGATTGAATCTCAATCTGTAGCCATAGAGTGATGCATTCTGAACCACCAGAATCACGATGAGAAAGTAAGCAACACTAAATCGGACAAACCTTCTCCTCCACCTGAAGAAGCCTGAAAAGCAACATCCCAGGCTCAGAATGACAGGATCACGTATGCCATACTCAACCAAAGGAACAGAATTCATCCAGTCAGGAATTATGAACATTTATCCTCACTCCCCAACTGAGTGGGCAAGGTAAATTCCATTTGCCCCCTGAAATTATGGGGAGGACATGAAACAACTGTGCTCAACCAAAGACCCAGGATGGGACCACTCCACATTCTGAATTATGAGAAGATAGTGGATGCTCTTCCATGAACTATGTACTGAACCGATATTGATCAAAAAGTAGGGCCACACACCTAAACTAGATAGTCAAGTGCCAAACCTGAACCAGTATTAGGAGTAGGTTTTCGCATAGGCTGTTGCTGCTCTTACCAACATCTGGGAGAAAAAAACATCCAGGGACCCAGATAGGAGGGCCCCCAACTTTGCACTCTTCTCCAAGAGTGGAGGAAATTCACTCTAACACTATGAAGGAAAAGCCTCTGTCTACCACCCCAGTGACTAGGAACCGGATGTGGTAAGGACTATCTAGCTCCACTAGTAGAATCTGGAGGGTAATGTAGATTAGGAAGTCCTGAGGAACAGTGTTCTAGAAACAGTGCAATAGGTGAACCAAGTTACCTAAATTTTTAAAAGCAAACCAACCCAAATTTATTCAACCGATGATCGGCAGGGACGGGCAGGATCCCCTTTAGCTTTACTCATGATAGTCAATGAGTGGCAGCCAGCATAGTATGGTAATCCCACCTAGTGAGCTCCTAGGTGGTCATATGGAACACCTCATTTTTACAGAGTCTGTTGCAACCTGTACAAATTATATTCAATTAGTGGTTGTTAATGTGTTTGATAAAAACACACCCGTCTGGGAAACACTCACCACAGAGTGGGATCGTGTGAAAACAAGGGAAGGGACTCTGAAAAGAAGAAATAAATATACTCTCCCCTCTGGATAATCTAGCAGAAATGGTTAAGATAGCTACAGGGGCTAGGCAAAAAGCCCTCAGATGAAGAGACTGCAAGATCAGGCAAATGATGTGAGATAAAAGTACTGGGGGAGGTCAACATACCAGTCTGCACAATGACCTCCAGCAGGCAAATCGACCAGGCTGCTAAGGACATAGAAAAGAGAAATCTGATTAGATGCGACTCACAGAAGATACCACACCTTTAAAGAGAGCCCAGAATAAAAAAAGTTGTCTAGCATCTCTAAAGGTATAAGTGCAGGCAATAAAACCTTCAAGACCCTTCAAGATCAAAATCTGATTGGACATAGAGTGAGCAGATGAATTGGAGAAAAGGATTGAACCCATTTCCTATCTGACAGAGTGTTGTGTAAGAAGAACTGGTCTGAAGGTGTAGAGAGAATGAAAAAAGTGTTCTGTGAACAAACAGCACAAATCACTCTGATCTATGATGTCCGTGGGTTAGCTGCAACATAAAATAAATCTGCAGGTAAAGGGGATACATGGCATATAGGAGTCAGGTCACAAACAGGTGTAGAAAAAGAACACATAACCTTAATCTACCTGGTAGGTAATGGGAAGGGTCATTTGGGACCAATTACTCAAAACAATGTGAGGAATCTGGAGAGTACTGAGGACTCAAAACACATGTAGCCACAATAATCGAAAGAAAGTCAATAAAGCCGCCATAAATAATGGTGATTGTGGAAGATGCAAAAACCTGTCAAAGAGCCAAGTGAAAAAACAAGTTATGGTTGACACCACTGATTGAAAAGAGTTCAACCTCCTCTCAATACAACATTGCTGATACATATGTCATTACGATGGGTAAAAATGTATTTTGGACTAAGCAGAAACTGAGACAGAGACATGTCAACCTTAGAAATTAAACCCAATGCCATATGAAAAACAGCATAACCTCTATGCCAGAAGCTTGAGCATCTGGATAGCTAGGTGTACCATATCAGATCATGGCTACTTTCACCGTAAGAGTGTAAAAAAAAAGAAATGGAAGAGTTGGACACATCGGAAGGGACTGCAGAAACAGAAATGGGTGTAGCAGCCAATCTGGTGGTATCAACAGGATCTGACAGTGAGTTGGAACAAATCATGGAGGGAAGGTTTAGAGTAGTAATCCTGTCCTGTCCAGATGGAAAGCAGCTATTGCCAAAGCCCAAAGATGAGATACTGGAAATCAACTTGCCAGTAGTTGGGTGATATAATGAGAGGCCAACCCACCAATTAGAGTTGCAAAATGAGAGCCAATCCAACAAAACCTTGTGATGCAACATCTGTTCTGTCAGGAAAATCTGTTTGGATTGAAACAATGTACCTGTTACCACAGGTATCACCCATGGAACATGGCAAGCTAGAAAGGTGATATGATAGGACTAGTTCTGAGAAAGGAGGTCCAAAATTCGAAAATAAAGAACCCAAGACCACATGCCTCCTTGATGAGAAACATAATACACCACCAAGAAATAGTCAGAGTGAAGCCTGACTATTTACCCCGTAAGATGCCCAGACCATGAAGTTTTGCCTATTGAAGAGCAAAAAGGACGAAAACAATATGCAAGGAATCCTCATTATCCATGCAAAGACTCTAGAATTACTGACTGTTGGTATATGCACCCCATCCCTGAAACAAAGAGTTTGTGAAGAGAATGGACTCTGGATGAGGTGGGAGTAGAGAAACTCAAATTTTAGTAGTGTCCCAACTTAACAACCCCCCCGAGATTGACGAATGATCTTGACAAGGGAAACTGGGAAAAATCAGTAAATAGAAGTGCATGATCCTTGATTGCTTAAAGACTAATAAAAGGATCACTTGTGTTCTTGTCTTAAAGGCATGAAGGGTTCAAGTGATGCTGACATTCTCAGAAGAGAATGAACTATTCTTGCAATGGGAGAAGGAGAAGTGAGTAAGAGTCTGGTGTCCTATTCTATAATGTTGCACAGTATGGGAGACAGCAAACCCATACTGAGAGATGAGATGAAAAATAAAAAACAACTAGACCGATGACATAGTGAATTGGAGCTAGATTGGATGTCACAGTCCTGAAAGGTTGTATCTGAAAGTAAAATCAGGAAGTGATAATCTAACAACTGAAAAGATGGTGCCAGCAGTAACCAGTCATCTATGGATGGTGTGTACACTGTTTGATGGAAAGAAGGGGAAGTGAAACAAAAAACTCATATGATACGGCAGAACCCATGTGAAACCTATGGGAGTCCAAAGGGAAAACCCAGAATTGCGGTACCTGACCCTTGGGCACCACAAATGGCAAGAACATTAGAACTCCAGAGCTAAGGCAAAGTGCAGATACGAGCCGACTATAACCAAATTAGATATCTACAATCCCAGTAAAAAAAGCAACATAGAATGAGTAACTTGTGAACCTTGAAAAATCTAGGCATTGATATAGACAAGGAAGATTGATGACTGGACACCAATCTCCTGTCTGCTTAGGCGCAACAACTGACAGGAATAACAACTCTGAAGAAATAGCATGACCTTCCCACTACCCCAGACCAACCAAACTGAGATAACCCTAGAACTAAGTTCCAAATCTCACAAAAAATTATATTACCTAACTGTAGTATTAGTTAATAATGGTGAGCTGGCACTACCTATTACATGTATGTAAACACAAGAGAATTTTAGAGTATAGAAAACAAAACATTGTTATTATGTCTTGGTATTATAGCATTATGTAAAAGATGACCACTGCAAATAAACCTTATGTTTTATACTAAGGACTACAGTGAATTTATTAAATACAACCCATATGCATAATCTTACGTGGTGTCAGATTTGTGGATTTAACCCATGCCTCTTTGCAAAATTTAGCTTTAAATTTACTTTTTACCTTCAATGAGCTATCTCTAGATCCCTGTGATTTTTTGTTTTTTTCTTTTCAAGAGACAATGTCTTTTCTGTGCAGCTTTTAGGAAATAACAGACTGAATCTCTCCTAAAAAGTCTGCTTAGCTGCAGACAGGTGCATAATGACCTGTCTTCATACATTTATTGGAGTGTATTTCAATGGGTGATTAGTGGAATCTGCTAATGAATTAATTGTTGGGCTTATTAATTATTTACAAACAACTAATCTTTATTCTTAAATGAGAAAATAATTTTATTTAAGGTATTTTTTGAAAGACAATTTCAAACTACAACTTGTTTGATAAGAGACATCTCAAAAACAAGATGTTAGGATTAAGAAAATACTTTTCCAAATTTTAAGATGTTGTACATGAAAATGTATAATATACACAATGTAGCACCAAAACTGTAAAAAGTTGAAAATTGAATTTTTCTCCCAACAAAATTTCACAAAATTAATAAAATTCATGAATTTTTCTTGATAAAAGTAAGAATTATTTCATGGCATTCATTATAAATCAGAAAAATACTAAACATAACAGTGAGATTACTATTAGGTACATGTTAACAAAGTTATGTATGCCTAGTTCTGGGGATCAAGTTTATGATTTTATACAACCAAATCTAGGTGATGAAGTGCATGAATACTATGAATGCATCTTTACTGTACAAAAAACTGTCATGACATAAAAAACCATTTGGTTTAGATATTATTGATTACTTTATTTTTGTGAGTGAATATTTTATTATTGTTTAGTTTTTGTTATAATAAGAGTTAAAAGCAGACAATTGTAGGAAGTTTTGTTAATAATTCATTGTTGTTGAGGATATCAAATGTCACATGCAATATATTCATTTTAAGAATATGGAAGGTGGACAAATGATTAGGTTAATAAAGATATAAATAGCGTGAGATGAGTGGGAAGCAGCAGACAGATAATAGCAAAAGGGAATAAAGTTGGTGTGAAGTTAACTATCATAGAAATGATAGGCCTAATATTTAATATGTTAGAGTGAAACTAACATTAGAAAAAAAGATAAATTTTTATCCCATCAAAGCGTGGTTCTAAAGTAACTGAATCAGCCTGAGTGTACTTTGACAAAAGGAGAAGAGGATTTTCAAAAGAAAGAAGACCAAAAGATTATGGTAACTTGCTCCATGAATGTAAGTGAATTACAGAGAATACTAGTATGACAGAAATAGAGAAGATAGTTAGGCTTGTCAACTGAAATTCTAAAGTAAATGAATAGGTCTAAGTGGATATTTGACAAGAAGGAGAGAACTACATATATAGTATTTAAATGTCCATAATATCTATAGTGTTGAAGAATTTATTGTACACATGTTAACTTGTTCTGAATACATATATTATTTTGAAAACAAGTGAAGTACGTGCTGTTTATTCATTGTTGAATTTATCACTAACAAGTCACAGACACCTACTGTAGAATAATTCTAAGCCTAACAAAAACATAGCATATATTTAAACTATTAAGAAATATAACTAAAAGCCTTTTTATTTTGACAATTGGCAAAGATCAGATTCTTAAATTCTGAAAGGGACAGTAAATTTAACAGCAAGCACTACTTCACTTGTTAAAATGTAGAGAAGAATAAGATTATCCTGGTCATAAAATTAGTTATTATTTTGTACAAAACAACATTTAGTGCAAACTGGGCCAAAATATATTATTTTGAATCAGCAAAATGACAATTCAACATATCTCTATCCTTATTACATGTTTATTTGTCATGGGATTTTAAGAAGGCTATATTGCAATTGTAGCCTATTTAAATATAATAAGATTTTTGTTTTCCCTTTTCAGTGTTCCGTATTTAGCTAGAGCTAATTGTAACTAAACAGGAGTCCTGTTCATATAACATTCCATATTATTAGACTGTTATTAGTCCATGTCTAGTAATTTCTGACAAATACAGTTAAATTAGAAAGTTTATCAGCATACAACATTTTCTTTGAATGAATAAAGAATAATGAATATAAACAGATTATAACTTTATTTATTATGGCAATCTTATCCTAAGTATCACTGGTTATGTTTGTAACATGGTAATAAGTAAATAATATATCAAGTTAAAGCCACTTTATTGTTTAGTCCAAGCAAAATAAACATACAGGTATCACTGTAGCATGTTATGTAAGTAATGGCTACTAAGACCCACCCTCACATTTTTGACTTGTGTATGATCAGAATGCATGCATATTGTCATATGGTTTATGAGTTAAATTGGTATGTATCTGAAACTGAACAAATTTGAGTTATGGCAGTGTTGCTAACCAGAGGGAACACAACTGGCCAGTAGCATCCACTGCCAACTCTGGAGCTATTCTTTACCAATGAAAAAAATTCAACATCACATTTTAATGCCTCCCATACTGGCATGGCCTGCCAGTTGGATTCAGGTTTGATACCTGGTGTCACCAAACATGTTTACCTTTTCAAATATAGGCAATGTCACAATTAGTAAAAGATTAGACCAAGAGTTGGCAGTGGATGCTGCTGACTGGTTGCCTTCTCTCTGGTCAGCTCAAAATAGAGAATATCTTTTCTGTTTTCAAAGAACTCCATTTTACGTAATGTTTCATTACAAACTGCCATCTTAGAGCAAGAAAACCCTTTTCCATGAACACAGAGAAAGACAACAACCAACAATAATATGAAAACACTTTACACTAGTTACAACACTAACATTGAGCTCCTAGGGAAAATATTAAAGAAGAACAATTTTAGAATTACATACAAATACCATTAAAGATAACTTGACTTCAAATAGAACAGTATCTGAGGGTGTTTTCATTATACCATGCCAATCCTGTGACAAAAGTTATGTAGGTGAAACTGGAAGAAGTGTTGATGCAAGAGTTTCTGAACATAAAGACAGGCATTAAATATGGAAGTAAAAACAATGACATTATACTTCATATGAGAAACTCCGATCAATAAATTAATTGGAAATGAACAAGAATTTTATTCAAATCAGACAACTACCAAAAAGAATAATCATCGAAAGTTGCTTAATCAAAAGCCTGCCAAATTTCAACACCTCCCAAAGTGACTTTAAGCTAAAAAACTTCCTGTGTTCTTGAGGGAATTCAAAATTCCAGTCACACGGGCATTGTTGACCAGTTTTCCTGCCAGAAGACAATGTGAGACTGAACAGGACCCATGAATGTGTCAAAACAACTTTATTTAATATCAAGATTTCTGACAGTTTGTTCTGTTTACTGTGTTGTTTTGTTGTTCTCCAACTGCTACTCACGATATTGTGTTATTTTATGATTATGGGATAGTGGCTGATAGATTCAATATCTTTGCCATAACTCAAAAACAAATATAATGCCCCACTGGCTGAAAGGAAGATATGGGGTAATGAATGCTCGACTCTCAAATCAGGATGCAATAACCTTAATTGTGGGCCATGCCAGTTCAGATCTGAACAAACTTGAATTAATCAAAAACTAATAACAATAAATTATAATGGTAATATTTAAATGACTTGGATAGTTGGAAAAATAAAAAAACAGTAACAATCAGAAACATGATGTTAATCAATTTGATCATAATTTTTGTTAAGAGATAATTTGATATGACTCTAATCAAATCAGGTTTTATCACTTGCAATTTGACTAAAAATAAGTCAGATTAATCAGTTGTGAAGGTATTTTCATGACTGAAAAGAAAATGTCTGTATTATTTTAATGTCAAGCACTTAAATATATAATTGATGGACTAATGGCAGATGAATGCATTGTTACAATTCAGTCCACCACATTTCTAGTTAGGAAGAGATTATGGAATATATACATCACCAAATGTCAAAAAACAAACTGTGAGAAAAACAAGCTCACACTTCTTTTAAAGTGAAAAATATGACCAACAACAGTAATAAAACACATACATAAAACTTAGTATTACTGAGTCAATTACTTATACTTGGTTATTAGAACAAATCTACTACTGCTCCTAAAAATTCTTTCTACAAATGTGCCACAATATCTTTAGCTTTTATCCAGCTGACAATAACATTATGGATTTTTCAGTGTTCAATAACAATATCCAATATGTATGTGTATATATATTTATAAGGAAATTCAGAAGTTCTTGTGTCTTGGTATTTTTTAGCCTTTCTTTACATATTCTTCACATACATTGACTGATTTTGCTTACCTGCACATTGGGGTTCCATAAGTGAGCTTTGTTCCAATAAAAGGCAATCCATCCATGTCGATTATTCCATCCAAATGCTTGTCTGTCAATTTGCGTCCAAAACTATAAGAGGATTGGACACCTCGATCTCCAGCAAGTTCTCGTAAGTTGATGAATTCAGACTTGTAAACACTACCATTCTTAAAACCCCTTTCTAGTGAGGCTTTGTTTAAGATCATTGCATCTTCCATATCATAACCCTACATAGGAGAAACAAGTCAACTATTTTGTTTATCTACTTATACAAGAGAACTATACTGAAATTTCAGAGATTTTTAAAATCATGACTAAAAGTTATAGCCATATCAGTAGAGCAATGTATTTTTTGTGTTTATTTTCACTTATTTAAGAATGTCTCCCATCTACAACATTAACAACTTAATACATTAGATGTAAATATAATTTATAATGTGGGTACATACTTGTATATGGAAGCACATTATGTTAACATAATAGTAAATTGATAAACAATGACTTGTAAACATAATGAAGTAGTTATATTTTTTGGGAACATACATACATATTTCAACAGAACATTGTCTGTCTGAAGACAGGCAGACCAACATTCTTTTGAAACATATAGTATTCTTATACATACTGTAACCCATGGTGTCTCCTAATGTTTGTTTGTCTCCTGTCTGAAAAGCTGCGCATACAGGCAAAGCTCAACATTCACTTTTGATATGATGGGAGAACAGGCCTGAATAATATTGACACAAATTTTATTTCGCAAGCAGGATATTCGATGCTAAATTATTATGAATTAATCACACTATCTTTCACATTTCAAAATGTGACATAACTTAGAGAATAAAAATGTAGATTTACCATATGTCATTGTTGAGCAGCTCTTATTATGACTGAAATGCTCAACAATTACTTTTCGCAGTGGCCAGTATAAGCAGCTCAGAGCTTTGGCTCTGAGTAAAACCAAGAGTGCAACACAATTAAGCTTTTTAAAGTCCATGAAGTAATTTAAATTGATAGATTAACTTAAACTTTTCCCATCACTGTGAATTGGTACTTTTGCTTATGTTCCCTAAAATTAAAACCACTTCATTATGCTTACAAATCTTTGTCTGTCAATTTACTATTTATGTGGATACATTTATTAAACAATAATTTTATACCTGTTTTAGATATTCTCATGTTTCAATAGCTAAAATTCAATGATATGCATCCACTCTATCAAATGTACATTTCACTCCTCTAGAACTATTATCTCTATTAAATATAATAAAAATTTAAGTAAAAGTTTGAAAGTTGATCTCATAGAAAGATGTTACAGAAACAAAGCAAATGAAAAAAAAAACTCATACATAATGGTTGGAAAAATTATATTATGCAATAATTCACTTAAGAGCAGTTTTTTTACAACAACAGTAATTCTACAAAAACTAGTTCTTTACACAAGAAAATTGAAAAACATCTATTGGATGTTATTAGAATACATAGTTCATCACTGAAATTCCATACAAAGTGATTATGAAAGTATTAGGTTTTAATACAGAAATGTAATTATTTAAACTTACAGTGTAGGATATAACTGCTACAATGGCATTAGTTCCCAAAGGATAGTCATCAATGTGGTAGAAGTCATACATTACAGGTCGTACCAAAGGTGACTGTGGTGTCTGAATACAGTACATTTTGTTGTCTGATCGATACTGGTATGTGTAACAGGGTGTTCCCATAGTTTGCTTCCCCATCTAGTAGTGCATTGGTAAGAAACATATAACATGTAATCAATATAAATTACTATATCTTTTTAAACATAAACTTAAAAATCAAAGTGTAACATTTAATAATATTCAATGAGCTACATTCTCAAAACACAAAAACTGTTTCTCATTTATTTATTATTAATGGTGTTGTTAGGGGTAACAGAATAGCCTTTCCACTCAACATTCTGTACATTCACTGATTTCAAACAACAGCTCTGAACACAGCAATGAAAAAATGGCAGCCATGGTGTATTATATTGATAACATTTTAGGACTATGGAAACACAGTTTAGAGGAGCTTCTAATTTTCCACAAACTCTTTTGACTCTATTCAGGAACAAATAAAAAAACAATTAAATGAAAACAAAAACAATCCAGATTACTTTAAAACAACTTTGATACTACTGTTCATTAAATCAATGCATAGTGAAATAATTTTAAGCTGTCAATCTGTTCATCCCATCAGTGTGAAAAAATAAATTTTTATTCATCAAATGGAAAGTGTGACATGATTAGTGTCAGATGACAACATAGCTAAAAAAGGCTGGTCACACAATGTAAAGATAATGTTAAGCAATAACAACCCAACTCACGCAAAACAAATGTCATTGAAAAACATTCAGCAAAATCAAAGAAAAATATTCGATTTGAAGGTATCTTGAAGCTCCTTTTTATCTGAGATACAATCTTTAACCAAATCATGAAAGTTATCCAAAGATTAGTATTCACCATCCATCTTACTTATTCTTGTGGAAAACAGGTTTATAGATTCTAGCTTGACTCCACTACCATGTTTTACACCAACATCATGCTTGAGATGTCAAGCAGACCTTCAATCAGGTAAGTATGGGATGAAAAATGTTTATCAAATGGCATGCAGCATATACCCAACTAATGCACTAGATGACCCATTAAGGAGAAAGATTACAAGAACACCATGAGGACTCTAATAACCCAATGTCATTCCATTTTCAGACTTACCACAAGATCAATAATGTCTTTCTATTTACCCACAAGTCTATATAGAATGAAAGATTACTTTGTTAGAAATGTTGCTAAAGCAGCTTCAATTAAGCAGAAGCAGCTAATTATATACAACAGACCTAGCTGGAAGCTAATATATGGATAAATAATTTTTCTTTAACATGTCCACTGTGGCGAATTGACACCCAAATTTTTGTGTTGTAAATTTGTAAAGTTACTGCTGACCCACCAGGGAACGCCATAAATTAAAATTTGATTTAAATAAGACATACTTTTGTTTATATAATATAAATATATATTTCATATCTATCCTTACAAAAAGTTTTAACAATACACATCTACATTCTATTGTCACTGCACACTGTTCTTTCATTGTTAAATCCATTTAAATACCGAACTTGTATTTTATCAGTTCTTTTGCAGCTTCAGTAAAGTAAAAACCTGAAAAAAAGCTCATAGCCAAAAATGTGTGCTTTGTTTCTTACAAAATAAACAAATGAAAATCAATTTTCATATTTTGAGAGTATAAATAATTAAGTCCTATTACATGGCAAACTTTACTCTCAGAAAGAGACTATACAAGTTAAAAATCAGAACTAGACCATTCTTTAATTTAGTACTGATTTATTGTTTTTAATTATATAAACTTCCTCACAGTTAGAAAAAGTGTTGAAACACTGATATAAAATCACAGTTCTCCCAAGAATGGTTATGTTAGTTAAAAGCATGTGTGGCTTTTACATCAAAATGCTTTACAGCTTTACCAAAAATATTTCAAAAACATAATATAATTATCCCTTTTATACATAATAAACATAAATTCATACACAACCAATAATGCTTACTTTATAAACTACATATCAAAACAAAAACTTGTCATTTGGCAGTACAGAGGTTAATTATGCTTTACTTAAATGATTTTTATATGCTAATGAAAAGATGTATTACCACACAAGAGATATGCCTAATCCCCATATATATATACTTGTTTCATCACAAATTCTTAACCACTTGAAAGTGCAAGGATAACTCACAGTTAAATAAATATAAAACACCTTTCTGAAGTGAAATATTCATATGATGAAACTGTTAAACAACATGAGGTCAGAGATCTTAACATTTCAATGAATGAAACCTTAAGTGTTCAACATCAAAGTAAAAACTCCTCACACAGAAGAGCATTTAGAAACAACAAGGGGCTCTGAAAACACTCTTCAAGCCAATCTCAAGTAATGCCTTCATTAAAAAAAGAGTAGGCTGTTGTTATAAAAGAGAACCCTCCAATCCAAAAAGTTATTATAAAGAATATAGGCATCATCTGTTGGTATAATTAAAAAGACAATAAACAAGAATTTGAAGTCAATGGAGCACACAACAAAATCATAAGTTTCATCTACACCCCAAAATCAATAGTTGTTTTCATAAGAAATTACTGGAATCACAACAATCCTATTTCACTAAATATCTGTCAAGTCCCTCAATGCAACACATATGGACTTTTGTACCTTTGGTTTGCATAAACATGGTCTTAAGAAAGTCTGTGGATGGTTTTTCAATATATGTGGTGTAAGATTGACCTTATTGTCCTTTTAAGAAGTATGTTGTAATGGAAGTTATAATTTTCCTATCCTGAAAATGTATTTCCGATAGGTACTTTCCCTCCGATCACAAGATTAGCTATTCTCTTTCATTGTTGCCCTCTATATGTAAACTTTTTTATTACACATGTCACAAGCCTTACACACTCCTATTGGAATCAAATGATTCCAAGGTGTCTTTCATGCAAATCATCATGCATCACCTATCCACCAATAGGAGCATAGTACACTCATGTGACTCCCTTTATGTGCATCTACCAAACTATCACTTCAAACTTTGGCAGATAACGAAAGCACTGGGAGTGAGTGGGGTTCCTAGGATGGGTAGGAAGTTTGAGTGGAGGGAAGTACCTATCAGAAGTACACTGTCAGTATAGTAAAATTATGACTTCTGATACAGTACTTCCCTCTTCTCACAAGATTAGCTAGAATCTCGCATTGATTAGGAGGAGAAACTGGTGCAAGGGAAGAACAGATGTAGCCCCTGAAAGCATCCGAAGGATACCCCTGTAGATGAGAGGGGGGGAACGCACCACTTCTGATCCAAGTATACTCTTTGCCAAGTTGAGGAATGTGTAAAACTCAGGGTGAAAAATGTTCTTAAGTTATTTAATGTGGTTATTTGCACTCAGACTCTGAATAGTTCACCTGCAAAGTGATTTTTGTTCTAAGTATAAAAATACTATTGATTATCTCACAGTTTTCATATTTCATTTGCATAATCTCTAGAATCTTCTAAATGAATATTAAAAGTTTTTTAAAGGTAAATGTTTATATTTTAATTTTCTCTACTATATCACTAACTGTACCTATTATCATCAATCTATACTGCAATGAAATGTTTAAAATTAAGAAATGGAAACATGTACATACCTTTAAGCTCTTTGTAGAAGTCTTTGAAAATTGATTTTCTAAATATATTTATTATTATTATTATATGGCAACTCTCGCACAGAGGCTCATTTCACTAACACTTTGCACATGCAAATAATGCCATCTTACTTATACACTTTTACAATCTAGGAGACAAGTTAAGTATAAAAATCATTAAACCTTTAAAATATGATTTTTTAAAAACACAAATAATGCATAATTAACTAAAATATAAAAGCAAGGCCTAAATACAATTTAACTATCTCTATAACTATAGCATTTTTAGGTAAGAAACAGTAAGTCTTATAGTCAATCAAGCAGACAACAATACTAATGACAATTACATGTATACTGTGAGGAAAACTGCACACCTAACCTAACCTAACTAAGCTCTATCTAACGACTATATATACACTTATGTCTACTAACTATATGTACATTGTAGATCTCAAGGCAAAGTATAAAAGGTGGGCATGGCACCCATCAAGGGTTGGAAAATTTATAGCTGTTTCCCAGATAAAGCAGCTATGGACTTTAGATATCACAAGTCAAGTAGGTCATATACACGTACTTTACATCTACATACTCATGTACATTGGAAGCTTATGTGGCTAAGAGTGAACTGCTGCTAAAGTCGAGATTTTTCATAGCTCGTGGATCATGTGACATGAAACTGCATTTTAAGTATTTTTTTAAATGTTTCCTTTAAAACAAAGGAATTATAACTTAGATAACATAAAACTTAAATTATAACATACATCATAATGTTAATTTCATTGACATATATTGATAGTAAAGTGGTTTTTTTAAATTTTGAATGTAATGCAGTACCTTACATAGAAAGGAATTTAAAATGATCCACCGAGAACTATAGGGTTATATCATGTTTATCATCAAAATATTCAGCTACACCACTGGCTTTAGTGCCTAATATGTGCAGTGCTCAAAAGCATTCATTAATTCACTGAAATCTTAGGACTATTGCATGGTAAATATTCACATTAAATTGCTTTTTTCTACTGTGGACTCAATGTTCATAGTTTCATAAAGTTTTATCAAAAAATGTTTTTGGATATCTATTAATATTTAATTTGTGTACAAGTTTTTGCATGGCTTTGAACCTACTTTCATTATTTATACAAGTTTTATTAATGCAGCTTAGTTGTCCAATAAAAGTTGCGTGTTTAATATTTTTTTTTCTTTTTAATTTTCGCGCAAAGCTACACGATGGCTATCTGCACTAGCCGTCCCTAATTTAGCAGTGAAATACTAGAGGGAAGGCAGCTAGTCATCACCACCCACCGCCAACTCTTGGGCTACTCTTTTAACAACGAATAGTGGGATTGATCGTCACATTATAATGCCTCCATGGTTGATAGGGCAAGCATGTTTGTTGTGACAAGGATTCGAACCCGCAACCCACAGATTGCAAGTTGAGCGCCCTAACCACCTGGCCATGCCGGGCATTTAATATGTAGTAGATGATGCAAGTGGTAATGTAAAAACAATGGTTTCTCACAAGGTTTATGATACAGTTCTGTTGCAAACTTGCCATCTTTTAAGATAACTTAGAACATCAAGGAGGAAAAGATGTTTGATTCGTTGGAGCGTTTAATAGTGAGTTTTATAGTAGATGAAAGTTATTGAGGAAATCATAGAAAAGTAGAAAATGCTCAAAAAGTCATTCCAAATTCCAAAGGTGTAATAAATATATCTGATCCATAACTGTTGAAAGTAGATGTCATTAAACTGAAAATAACTGTTTCTCAACACCAAATTAAGCATATCTTTAATGTATTGAATAGTGTATCCCATTAAATCTACACTGTCTACACATTTACAAAACACTCAATATTTTCTTAAAACTCTTGATACTACTGGTAATGTCATAAATCCCGATCGTATATTATTCAGTCTGGACGTCAAGTCGCTGTACCAGTCCATCCCTAATGATGAAGGGATCATTTTCTAGATCTTTGTTGAACATATTTCCTTTCTGTCTAGCCAATCAGGATTTACAAAGAATATACTACCCTTTTTTGTATTTGAAATTTTCAAAATATGAAAGACACAGGGAACAATCTAGGAAGTTCTGAAGCACAAAAAGCTAATAATTGTTACAATTTTGTAATGATTTCAGTTAAAACACAAACACCAAGCCTATAGCAAATTCCAGAATCTGTTTGTTTTTTATTTCATGCAAAGCTACATGAGGGATATCTGTGTTAGCCGATTCCCTGATTTTGAAGTAATAAGACTAAAGGGAAGGCAACTAGCTAACATCCCCTCACTGCTAACTTTTGGGCTACTCTTATAACACTCAAAAGTGGGATTTGACTGTCACTCTTATAATCAATCCATAGCCCCAAAATGCATAGTACAATTATATTTTTAATGTTAATAGAACAAGAACCACAGAACCTCAAGACCAGCATGTTATCCATTGGGCTGCAATCAGCCGCAAATTCTAAAAGCGTCTAATCGAAGAACAAAGAATTTTCCCTAAATTAACATAAAACAGACTACATTAGACTTCTCTAAAGTAGAACATTTATTATAAAATTGCCAAGTGGCCCATAGACTAGTCTCAAACATTTCACGTTTTCAATCCTGTATGAAATTAGACAATAAAATATAATTATGATAACTTGCATCACATAATAAATTATTTTCAACTGATAAACTCTGAGAAAATTATTTTCTGTGATCTGTAGAATATCAACTTAAAAAAAAATAACAAGATTGAGCTTTTGGATAAAAGCCTAAAACAATATCTACATAAAAATATGGAAAGTATTGAAAATTTTCCCATATCTCTAAACTGAACTTAAAATAATGTTTTCAGACCTTATTTACTTTAATTCATGTTAATTTTGTTAGCTACTAAATAATACATCTAATTAAAAACTATTATAAATATATATCTTGGTCAATAATATTAAAGTAAATTCCAGTGTTACAATATTTTTGGAAGAAATTACAATTCACTAAAAACCCCTCATGATATTTAATCAAGATACCAGACATTCGGCAGGAAATCAAAATCACTAGGGTAACTAAGCTATTAGCAGTTCTTCAGAAAGGTATAAGGATACTTTAACTAAATAAAGAAGCTGCTGTTTAAATATCCAAACTAATAGCATATTTTGTTATTTTAAATCATTTGTTATCTAACTTACCTGACATTGGTACATATTACGGGGACTTTGGTTAAAATCTGAGAATGGAATCATGTTGGCTAGTACACTCAGCATACTTGTTTCTCTCAGTTCTTGATGAGTTGTTATCTATTATCAAGAACAGAAATCAAAGGTAGCAAATACTTTCCCTTCATTTCAAAGCAAAAAATATATTTAAAATGAAAAACTATGAGGATATAAAAATATTTTAGTTTTATTTTGATGATTACATGACTACAATTGTTCATTCAATATTATATGTAATGAAACTTTTAAGAATGGCAACAAAAATTTCATTTCATACAGTCAAGTGCATAAACATCTTGAATTTAGACAGAGGAATACTATGATTATATTAACAAATAAAAACAATAATTATTGGGAATTTTCCTAAAAACAAATTAAAAGCAACTTTTATTACTGGATGAAATGAACTAATTAAAATTTGTTGAAAGATATATTCCTGTAATATTTTTGTGAAGTAAAAGTAATCAGTAATGATTTAAAATTCCATCTAAAATGTGAAATAAAAGAGGTTTGAATTCTTAGTAGATAGTTAATTTCCATTCATGCATATAACTGATCAAATGACTATGTATTTTTAAAACAACAATAGATAGATTGCAGCTTTATCTTTTCCAAACTTTATAGCTCTCAATCAACTAGATATAATCATTCTAAAAATCTACAAGACTCTGATTAAACAAACTCAAATTTTAAATGCTCTTTATAGTAGTAATACAACTTATTACACACAATATCATAAAAACAAAAAGTAGAACTTTTGTGTGGTAACTTATATTACACCTGCTATAATTATGTGCTAGAGTTTCAATTCAACTAACATACTAAGTTTTATTTTTATAAAAATCTCTTATTATAAATAGGAATTGGTTGTGTATAAAAAAATCAAAGTTTGAAAATTAAAGATTTTGTCAACAATTCACTGAGAGATATTTTGGTTATTTCTTGTAATCCTCTCATGTTAATGCCTTCATACCTATTCTACTACTTTTATTTATGTGAAGTTTTCTCATCTCAGTCTTTGTAATCACCACACTTAGAGTAGGAATAATTCAACACTCCATGTTTCTCAGATTTCTTAATATTTCACATGAATCCAAGTCTCTTGTAACACCAAGCTGTGATCTTAAAAAGATGTCAATAGAACACTAAAATGTCATGATAAATTTATGTTTTATCAAGCTGATAATAATAATATCAGTATCTGATCTTGTTAATGTTGTGACCACTTTATAGTTGGGGTGAACCTCAGATTATATTGAATGGAAAAAAATTACTGAATGCAAGAAAAAATGGCTAAAATTAATTTATTTTATGTGGCATGGCACAAGTTCTCTGTATACAAGGGTATTTAGATAATTATATAAACAAATCTATATATATTCTATTCTAACTAATTGTTAGCAGAATTTCTGCAATGAGGTATTATATTTTATATACCTAAAACTTACTGGGTCAAACAGAGTAAACACATTCTCTTCACATGTTACTTGTAAAGTTATGGAATATGATTTATGTACCTTCACACCATTAGCATGATTAGATCAATACATGTGGCAACATATGGCTTTTGCAATATTTCCAGATATTTTTAATGCTAATGGTTATTTTATATCTAGTAAACAAGATGAAAGAAAACCTTGTTATTCAGTACTCAAATTTCATACTCAATCAGAGCACATCATTTTCAGGCTATATGCATATCATATGAGCATTAATGTAACTTACCCAATGCACACAACTTGAAGGTATAAGAGGCTAATTTTTATTGAGCAACTTCTCAGAAAAGCAAATGAAGGTGAGGAGAAAGTACATTCAGATAGCAATCTATCAGGTAAAGAAACCTCTTCTATAGTGCACTTTGTAATGATTGATTCAGTGGCATAACTGCAAAAGATGCATAAAAAGTAATTGGACCCCATACATTTATTTCCATATAATTGTAGTTACGATTCGGGCCCCCTCCACAATTGCAGGGGCATACTTAAGCCACTGAACTGGCTACACTCAAGTGTGCAATACCTTTATACGTTTGACACACACATATTTACCTGACTTCTATATAGCATTATTCCTAAGACAGTCTTGGTTACTCCCACTGATAACCCATGTTTAGGTGAATTTTTTGGCAGGGATTTGCTATAGAAACACAATCAAGTGTTGTTGTTCCTTTCTTAACAATTACTGCATCTAGTAATAAATTCCAAATATTTTTAATGTTAACATTTTCTTACATTGAAAATGTATTTCTGATAGGTACTTACTTCCTCTCACACAAAAGCTATCTCGATTGTTGTCTGCCCTCTAAGCATTGCTAAAATAATTTTTAGTAACCAGTGCACCAGTCTTTATGCCTCCCCAGTTTCACACCATTTCTGAACATGTACATATCATGTGACTACTCTCCATCATTAGTACTGCACCATTAAAACGTGTTTTTATTCTAGTACCTGCCAATTCTCAAAAGTGAGGATTGAGTGGGAATAGCAGAGGGAGCTAACTACACCATTATACACTGAAAATGTTAACTTCCGAAAGAGACTTACCTCCTCTCACACAAAAGCTAGAATCCAGTGTAGGTGCACAAAGAACAAACCAAGCTGAAAGCGACCACCCAGAATGAAAAGGAAGTACACTCGCAGAGTACCGCACTACTTCTGGAACACGTATGCTCTTTGCTCAAGAATGAGGAAAGGAACACAAAATGGGTGGAAAAGATAGTGCTTGCACAAATATAAAAGTGTTAAGAAGATGCAAGCTGTAGCAACATATAACTAGAAAAAGAAAATGTGATAACAAGTGGCTAGGGCATGTGGACGTCAAGCAACAAGAATTATGAAGAGGAAGTGAGCAACAGCCATAACCAAACAAACTCCCAAAACCACCATGGAAGCAAGAAGTATGACAAACTGAACCCAGCATTACGGGGTCTTAACGTTGCCTCAGCTCCACTGTAAGAACAGGGAAAGCTGTAGCTGGTATTATGGGCAAAATAATAACTCACTCAACCATAAATGCAGGGCAGAGACATCCTGTATCCAGAATTAAGAGGAGGAGAAGTAGCATTTGCCCAACTGTTGGAACAGAGTACAGACATCCCATTGCCTGTATTATGAGGCAGACAAAGTCTCTCAAACCCAACCGTAGAAGCAGGAAAAAACCTTCTGCAACTGGAATTAATAAGTAGTGAAGCATCTACTGCACACAACTGTAAGAACAGGGTGTTGTAATCCTGAATCAGAAATTAAGATGCACATCCCACAAAGTTTGGCCCCAATTATTAATTGATCACCGGCTATATTGAGTGCTGTCTGCCAAGGAAGAAAACATCCAGGGGAAGTGCCAGTAGGGAACCAACTTCACCCTCTTTTCATTGAGTGGATAAATAAACATACGTATAGTAACATGGAATTTTACACTCAGATGGAAGCCTCCATGGTCCACCACCGAGGTTCCTGAGGAATGTCAGTGTAATGGGTGACTGCATTTCTCTATTTTGAAAAGCAGACTGAATTGGCAAGGAGGAGCAGGAATTCCCTTTTGTTTTACTCATGAAGTCACTTTGAACAGGAATACTACATTTCCATATGTGCTCTTGTACAGTTGACAACACATCAACCATCCTTTTTGAGTGTTCTTTAATCTGTGTTTCAAGTATTTGAATGGCTGAAACAATATAACCTCTCTCACTGCAAGAACATGAATACTTTTAGATGATGTGGGAATACTTGAATGAAGGGATACTGTCTTTGATGTAAAAGAGAAATTTTGAATTCTTCCTTAAGGTTCAAAAACCATTCTCACATCAACTTGTGCAAAGATTCTCTTGATTAGGCTTTGAATTTTATTTTTCAGAGAGTCTGTACATGTGGCTAGATATGGTAAGACAAGGGTCACAAGACAATGTGGAATATTTAGTATTAGATGAATGGGGTGGTTAACTTTCTTTGAAAATCTATTTGCTTTGGAATAAATTCATGAAATGTGAATATAACCCTGAAAACATTTTCCTGCGAAAAAAAAAAAAAAACTTGAAAGAATCTGTCATAGCTACTAAGTTTGGTATCCAAACAAGATAACCAAGTTACTTTTTTTCCTTAAAAAAGTAAAAAATATTAGTATGTTTTTTATTCAATAAATAAAGAAACTTTTACTTGGACTTGTTAATTAAAAACCACAAATGTATCATCTTTATATCTCAAATACATGTATGAATTCTTCTGGATAGTAACCACAGTGACATTTTTTACTTTGCACATAAAAAAATTGGCCAAACAGGAAGCCAACTATGAAATTATTGAAACCCCATCTATTTGATCATACAGTTCATCATTAAAAACAAAACAGGACTGTTTTGTGGTGAATTCTAATATTTTTTGAAAAAGTTTTTTACTTAATCTTTCTATATTTTCAGTATTTTGAAAAACTAAATCAACTGTTACCTGATGGGAATTCAAAACTTTCTTTAACTGCATATTCATTATAAGCATATTTATTTAAAAAAAAGGAACTAAAAATTCAACTACTTTGTAATTAAAAGTGCCAATATTGAAAACTATTGGCCAGACAAGGACATCTGTTTTATAAGTCTTTGCATATAATACACCATAGTGAGAGTTTACAGGTGTTATGTTATAATAGGTCCTATCATTAATGAAACTGTTTATAATCTTTAACAAAAATATCTGTAAATTTGCTTCTCTTTGTTTTGTCAGATCCTCTTTTAGTTTCCTAAATTTACTCGTCTTTTAATATATCCAAAACCTTAATGGTATAACCTCATTTATTCAGGATTACAATGCCATTACCTTTATCTGGTCTTACAATGATGATATCTTTATCATTTTTTAAAGATTGTAAAGCTTCTACTTCTTCTCTAGGTATATTGTGAACAGAATACTTGTGATTATTATCAGTATAAACCTCTTGGAAGCTTATATCATTTGGTCAAACAGGGAACTCTTCTAAATTTCTTAAGATTAATTCTAACAGTGTAAATAAATCTATATACTGCATATTTTGAATTGAAATACAGAATTTTAAACCCCTGGCTTGAACATTCTTCTCCAGATCACTCAACTCAT